GGCCGCCCCCGGGGGCCCGCCGGGAGGCGCGCGGTGCGCGCTGGGAGTTGTAGTCGGGGAGGGCGACGCTCGACAGGGCGGGAAAGTGCCCGCCGTGGCGGTTGGCGGGGCCGCGGCCGGGGCAATGTCTGCCGGGCCCCGTGGCCGTGCCGGGGAGCCCCGAGGGGCTCGGGGAGGCGCGTCGGCAGGCTCCCGGCCGTGGGTTATCTCTCATGCAAGCAGGGCCGGGGCCAAAGGTCTCCCTTCAGGCACGTCACCGGACCGGGCCCAGTCCAGCCTGTCCTCCCGGGTGTCGGCGGCAGTTGCGTTACGTTTTGGGGTTTTTTTCCAATTAGAGAAACGTACCTTATTCCTAAACCACGTTGTAATGCTCTTTTTCTTCCCTTGCCAGGAATGAGTTCAAGTACTTCCAGAGAATGACTAGCACATCCCACGTGGAAGGTAACCTTGTACTTGTTGCAGAGGGGTGCCTCTACTTACTAGGATTAATTTGCGGTATCAGTCACGGAAAAGGCTGGTAATTTCACTTTTCCCTGACTTAAAAGTCCTGCTTCTGCAAACAGCTTGCCCTTTCCTGCCCTCCCCCGCCTCACAAGTATTTTACCCACTTGTAAATGTCATCTGCAGATTGCTTCTGTTAGGTGAAGAAACTGGAGATGAATCTGATGTTTCAGGGCTGCAGATGATTTGGAAATAAACAGAATTTCAAAGTCTAGTTGCCCCAACAGTGTAGAAAACTCCACCTACCTGTCTCTACCTACAACTCTGTCATGGTTTAAGCCCAGCTGGCAACAAAGCACCACAAAGCCACTTGCTCACTCCTTCCCTCCAGCTCCTGTGGGGGGAGGAGGAGAAAATCTAAAGAAATGCTCTGTGGGTCAAGACAAGGACAGGGAGGGATCACTCCCCACTTATGGTCACGGGCAAAAACCAGACTCAACTTGGGGGGGAAAAAACAAAATCAATTTAATTTACTACCAATCAAATCAAAACAAGGATAATGAGACGTAAAACCAAATCTTAAAACACCTTCCGCCCCACCCCTCACCCCACTCCTTCCCAGCTCAATCCACCCCCGGTTTTCTCTACTTCCTCCTCCCCAGCAGTGGAGGCGGACAGGGAATGGGGGCTGGGGGCGGCTCGCCACACGTCGTCTCTGCCGCTCCTTCCTCCTCAGAGGGAGGACTTGTCACTCATCCCTGCTCC